TCCTCTTCTTCCTCTTCCTCTACCTCTTTTTCTTCTTCTTCTTCTCCTTTTCCTTCTATGTCTTCTTTTATAAGTAGGGCAGGCAACTCAGGTAGGCTCAGTTAAAATCCTTTGGTACAGAGTCACATCTTTTTGGTGATGAGACGTGATTTTTGGTGATTTGATGTGACATTTTGGTCAAATCTTTTCGGATGTTGAACCAACAGGGAACAGAGGCTTCACTCCTTTATGTTAAACAACGGAAGTGTAGGCTTAAGGATAGTTATACTCACACACTTTATAGTGGTCTTGTCTCCTGACTTCATGCAGGACATATTCCTTTCCATTTCCTAGAACAAGTGTGAGAGAGAGGAATGGACATAGAGAGATTGCTTCTCTGTAAATGATACTACCAACTCTTTGTTCCCTTTACCATTAATCAAAGCTGACAGATTGTTTAATTTGAGAGCGGGTGGGAAGTGGAAAATCAGAGTCCTTAAATTTAAAACAAAAACCAAGTCTTGTAACTTTCACTTCACTGTGTAGATTGTTACCAAAGTGCTTTTACAAAACCTTTGCATAAGTGTATTCAACAATTGCTAGAAGCCAAGATACCTTGACATGAGAAAAGGAACACTAGCCACAGCTTTATACATAAATATTTATTTTGGACAAATAGTCATTCTACAGACAGCTTTGAATAAGTCATGTAAAAGAGTATCTCCAATCCTTTGGTCACCTGATGCAAAGAGCCAACTCATTGGAGGAGACCCTGAAGCTAGGAAAGATTGAAGGCAAAAGGAGAAGGGGACGACAGAGGATGAGATGGTTGGATGGCATCATCAACTCACTGGACATGAATCTGAGTAAACTTAGGGAGATAGTGAAGGACAGGGGAGCCTGGCATGCTGTAGTCTATGGGGTCATAAAGAATCAAACATGACTTAACAACTGAACAACATCAAAAATATTATCTACTCCTGGTGAAGTTTAATGGATGGAATTTCAAGTGTTCTGGTATTTGCGTCTAAAATGAAGGGAAGAAAAATAACACCACACTAAGTAGATTTAATGCCCCTGCTTTCAACCTAACGAGTCAACTGGTAGTTATCACTATGATTGGGGTCTTTTTTGTAAGTTTATGTGAATCTTTGCTTTCCAAAAACACAAAATTCTTATTTTCCAACAAATAGAGCAACTTCTAATATACTGAGTTTCTAATGACAACATTTGCCATCAAATAAGTAGTAATAAGTAATTTCTTTGAAAGCGAGGTTTTCCTATTTTGTTATTGACGGATGGATTTTTCCCAGTCAAGGATATTGGTCCTAAATATCTATATAAAGTTTTTATATTAGATATTGAAACTAAAGATTTATATAAATGGCTGTATGCTTCTATATTTTATACTTTGAATTGACAGAAAGTAAAACCAAGAGTTTCTACAAACAAAGAAAAATTAAGAAATGTTTTGGGATATTTTTAAGTCTCTTTTAAGTACACAGCTTTGCCTGCATCTGGCTTTCTGTACGAAAGAATCTCATGTGGACTTTTACTCTGGGTATTATTTTCCAGATGTGAGAAGAATAACCAAACTAAATTATCAGGATCCTTGTTATTCAGTTTAGGTTTATACATATGTCTTAATTCTCCTTCAAACAACTGCCTGAATGTTGCTCAATTCAGTCACTCAGCCGTGTCTGACTCTGCGACCCCATGGACTGCAGCATGCCAAGCTTCTCTGCCCATCACCAACTCCCAGAGCTTCCTCAAACTCAAGTCCATTGAGTCAGTGATGCCATCCAACCTTCTCATCCTCTGTCGTCCCCTTCTCCTCCTGCCTTCAATCTTTCCCAGCATCAGGGTCTTTTCCAACAAGTCAGTTCTTCACATCAGGAGGCCAAAGTATTGGAGTTTCAGCTTCAGCATCAGTCCTTCCAATGAATATTCAGGACTGATTTCCTTTAGGATAGACTGGTTGGATCTCCTTGCAGTCCAAGGGACTCTCAAAAGTCTTCTCCAACACCACAGTTTAAAAGCATCAATTCTTCAGTGCTCAGTTTTCTTTATAGTCCAACTCTCACATCATGACTACTGTATGGAATGTTCCTAGTTTTATGCATATTAGCCATAAGAGGTGGGCATAAAAAAAGAGAAGGCAAAGGTTAAATTAGTGAATTTTGTTATTGGTTACCTAAGTTTCTAAGTAAAAGTTCAATTACATTTCACATTCATATCCAAAACTCTTTCAAACTGGTAGTTAGTTACAAAGCTCTTTGGTTTTATAGTCTTGCATATATCTGGGTGATTTCCACTGCTCATTACTACCGTGTGTTTATGTTGATTGCATGTTCTACTTACCTTGTGTTCTTCACACATTTTGGTATTCATATATATTATTATGTTACTGTCTGATATTCTATAATATTAGCAAATGTTTGCTATATTTTTGACATTACTTTTTATAGCCCTCTTACTTTTATGGAGCAGTGAAAGTTTAGGCTTTAAAAGAAGTAGTGCCTTTCTCATATGGTCAGACATATTTTTTCTTTATGATATGCTGGTGTTTCTTCTTTTTCTATAATTCTCTATTATTACTTATTTTAAATGTCTTTCTATCATTTTGAAAAACTTAAATGCCCATTCTCCATTTGAAAATGTTCCAAAAGTACTACACCATGTAAATACATAAAACAATTACTATAAAAACGTCAGCATAGTTTACGGCAATGTTTTACCTTAGAGACTACAAAGATATATATATATATATGTATATATATACATATATATATATATATGTTTCAAGTTGTTGGAATTAAGATGCATCTAAAACAATAGTTCAGTTCCTGTAAAAATAATAAAAATGTTTCATGAACATTACATATCTACCCATCAGAAATTCTTTTTGCAATTTCATATACAAATATTTTGAGACCTTTTTGAAGTAAATAATGAAAATAAATTAAGGTGTTCTCTTGATTTTTGAAAAAGTATTTATTGATGGTCTTAATAGCTGCTGATGTGCAAGCGTTCTTCTAAATTTTAAGAGGCAACTAGAGAAAGTAAAATTTAGACACCAGAAAAACAAGGATACAAACTTTTATTGAGAACAAGCAAACACAGAAGTTCTTTGTTTAAACTGTTAATAGGTAGATCAATAGAGTCTGATATACATGCTGTGTCTTTAAAGGTAGCATTATATGAAGGGTAAGTTTTATATTGACAGAGAAATAGAGCTGTTATTACTTCCTGTTCACCCAGCATCTAAGGAAAATAAAAAGTCATTCAAGAAATATCAGCATTTTCATAAGAAATCAGTGCTCCCTGCTAAGAGCTACCAGAGTCCTTCTTCCATCCCTGAACCTTGAATCCCAAAGGCAGTAAGCCTTCACATGTAGCTCCCAATTTGTATTCTTAATGTGTCCCATATGCTTTTCAAATGTTAAATACCCACCCCCTACAACTGGAACCAGACCTTTGTCTTTCCTAAGTTAGAAAGAGTCACAGAGCCACCTCTCACTGTTCTGTACTTATGGTTACTTAATTCTGGGGTATACGGTAACAAGGCAGCACAGGGCAATGAGCACTGATGCCAAATAATAGTTTCAATGTTCTTCTGCAACTACATTGCCTCCTCTGTGAGCATTAAGCATTTACTCATTGAACATACCCTGAAATAGTCTTGTTGACAAAATCTTTCATAGTTGGTTAATCATCTGGTAAGATATCACAAAGCTAAAGGGGCCAGGGTTACTAAATTTTGGAGCCCAGTTAGAGACAGTTGATTGGCCACATCAAATGACCACAGACCACACACCTCACTCAAGTGCCACTGGAATTCGCCACCTCTGCCGAAATAATTCAAAATACAGGCTCTGTTGATTGTGGGTTAACAATTGGTCCTGTCTTATGATGGATAATACAATACTGTGCTTTGAAGTTAAGTAGAAAATTATAGGGGTCACCAGTAATCCAAAAAAGAAAATAGGTTGTCCAGGTAAAAAGATTTAAAGGCACTAAACAGGTAATTGTCCTAGTGCATCAATCTTTCTACTTAAACTTATCAATAAAGACTTGATTTTCCTGACTTTATTCTGAAAACACATTGTCAAGAATAAAATGTATAGATTCTGTAGACTAAGCATGACAGACTTTGATATGGTCAGGTTATAAGGTATCTGCTTGAAAATAATAAAAGGAAAAATTCAAAATTGAGTCTCAATAACACTAAATAATGGTGTATGATACTATGGAAACATATTATATGACAATAGAGAATTAAAGAAAGTGCCTTTAGAATGTGTGGGATTTGTTACACATAAGTAAGCAATAATCTGAGAAGGGCTAACCCAGTTTTTTTCACAAAATGAAAATAAATAAACAAAGGCTTGAATAGTACAATGAAGACTGTATTACATTCAGACAATAAGGAATTGTCTTTTTATTCCCAGGGCCAAAAAAATGTCTTTATCTGTGGTGACAGAAAGTTGAGGGTAATATATATAGAAGCATGAAATGAAAAATTATGGATCTAAGAATATAAATATAGATTCTCCCTTTCATAAATATTCAATACATTATTTGACACATTGGTTTGAGTGAAGCTTCACAAGCACAGTTTTAAGCATCTTGATTTGGGCTGAGGTCCAGTAAATTATATATTCCCAACAACCATCAGAGCTTTCTCACTAAAAATACACACTCACACTCTACTTTGAAAATATTCTAAGATAATTATTTCCATTTTCATAGTAACTAGTACAGTTATGACTAGAGTTGTCTCAGGTTTCTAAGGAAAGAAAATTATTCTGAGATTCTGTTAATAAGAGAAAGTGTAGTAATAGAGAGGGGTATTTTCTTAAAATTGTGCTAAAGCTGTCATTTTCATGTTTAATGACTTTAACTGTGCTAGACAAGATTTTGTTTTCTGTTTCAGAAATAAACTATCTGATATAACTCTTTAGTCAATTGCCCACAAATCTTCCAACCCCTCCTTCTAGCAATCTCACAATGGGTTTAATTCATCTGGAGAGCATAAAGCCAACATTTACATCAACCTGGCTAGGTTTCCGAAATCCTAACCATTCAATTTCAGTTGCCTGAAGAGCTGTGTTCTCCAGCTCCTCATCTTCTCTCTCCTCTAGAGGTTGTTCAGCAATCCTTTCCTTTTGTCTGCTTATTTCTTGGTTGCTGCTGCTCAATGGAATCTTCTCCCACTGATGCCCTATAGCAAAATCAATTGGTAGTTGATATGTGTAGAGATTTCAAAATACCCACATATTCTCCAGATTATATTTCTGTACAACCATTTTCCAGCATATATTTTATGAGATATTGTTCTGTGGGTTATTAATGTGTTTTACACAATGGAACAGGCTACCCCATCAAATTATCTCAGAAAACACCGCATTAAACACAAATAAGCTTCCTCAGAATTTATCTGAACCTTTAAAATGCTAATGAATATTAGGATCCAGCAACCCAACCTCATTTGACTATGGAAATTTTTGATATGGACTACTGTTGCAAGGTGATCAAACCAGTCAGTCCTAAAGGAAACCAACCCTGGATATTCTTTGGAAGGACTGTTGCTAAAACTGAAGCTCCAGTCCTTTGGCTACCTGATCCTAAGAGCCGACTCATTGGAAAAGACCCTGGTGCTGGGAAAGATTGAAGGCAAAAGAAGAACGGAGTGGCAAAGGATGAGATGGTTAGATAGCATTATTGGCTCAATGGACATGAACTCAAGCAAACTCGGGGAGATAGTGGAGGACAGAGGAACCTGGTGTGTTGGACACAACTTAGCAATTGAACAACAACTAGTGACTGAACAACAACTATATCTAGTGAGACTGGTATTCCATGAGACACACTTTTAAAAATCCTGTCTAGCTTATCATGACTGGGTATATGAATATGTTTAAAAAACACAGGGAACTATTTCCTAACCACACATGGGTATTCCTCAAAGAAAATTAGAAAAATATCTCACAATGAAAAAAGACCTCCAACAGCAAAAATAATGAAATAATGACTGCTAATGACTGGTCTCATTCAGAGTAGCAAATTCAGTATTTGCCACCATGCTTCTCAGAGTTATCCTAAAGTACCAGGTGTGGAGAAGGAGCAGGCAGCCACAGATGGCCAAGAGACAGGTGCTGGGCTAATCAAGGTGCCAAGTCCACCAAAGGACACACAGTATAGTCTAGGTTCTGCCACCGATTGCTAGCAAGTCATAATTTAAAAATCACATTAAGGTCATATCTACCTAATGCTAGATTAGCCTATTGTTTTAGACTCGTCCTTAGCGGACAACTAATTAACTCAAGTGGTTTGGTACCATGTAGAGACTTTAAAAAGGCTCATTTAATTCACTGTAAATTTCACTTTTCAAACAGATCCTATCAGCATATCCTCACTAACATTTATTGAGCATGCAAAAACCAATTAATAAGGAGAGAGTAGAGATTGTTTTCAGAGCTTTCACCCTTAAAGGACTTCAGTGGGAAGCTTCAGCCTGCAGTGTGCTTGACTCAGGGTTGTGTTCACTATTCTCTTTCAACACCATTGTTGTTGTTGTTGTTTAGTTGCTAAGTCATGTCCGAGTCCTTTACAACCCTATGAACTATAGCCTGCCAGGCTCCTCTGTCCATGGGATTTCCCAGACAAGAATACTAGAGTCTTTAAACAAAATGAGAGTCACTGCTTCTCTTTGCCTTTCTCCTCCACAGCTTCCTATTTTCACTGAAAGATGTTAACAAGTCCATTTCCATCAAAGATTTTTCATTCTCTTTTCATTTTATTTTTCTAACTATAATTGTAAAGTTACACAAACAGATAGAAGTGAAGATGGATCATCACTCCTCTTTACTTGTGCACAGCTCCTATCAGGCCACTGGCATCCAGTCAGTATTCTTTACATTATAAATAAACACACATTATAATGTTTACTATAATCTTGTTTGGTTTTCTTTTTTTTTTTTTTCACAAGAACCAAAGAAACTGATCTTTTGTCTCATATTCATGACTCGGGCATAGTTGTCATGCTTGAAATTACTTCTGTCTTTAAAGTATAGTATTTTTCTCAGTATTTTTAACATTTTCCTGTTTTTCAACCCAAGAGTATTCTCTCCAGACGTTTTAGCTGTTTGCCACTGCGAAAATAAAAGATACCAAAATGTGTCCTTCTAACCCTACAGCAGAAACATATGTTCCACCAAACACAAAAGGATTCATGCAGGGAAAAATTCACCCTGAGACTATCCGCTTTTAAAAACCCAGACTGCTTTTATTCTTTATTTAAAGAAAATGAAAGATCTTAGAGAACTATTGTCTCCAGCTGACCTTCTGGTCAGAAATTTGAAAGGGACTCTAGATAAAAGTTGAGATCTCTGTCTTTGAGAGTTTGCTTGCTCACTGGCAGCAGAAGGGTTAGGGCAAGAGATTATTTAGTTCATTTCATAGGGTCTAGGTTTTACAAATTAACTGTGATAATGTAAAAGCTTGGCAATGACCGCTGCTTATGACATTATTCCTTGAGTGACTATACAGTGGACCACTGTCTGCAGTCTGCAGTCTGAGAGGTGTCCAGACAAGGTGGGCAAACTCAGGAAACTGCCAACAACCTTGGCATCTACTATTTTATGTGATGTCCTAATATTTCAATCAATAATTCTTCAGTGTTTTGCTTGTTAAGAGCCTAAATAAGCTAAGTCACTTAGGTCTACCAAGCTGGTTTCAATTTTGAGATAAGATGTTTATGCTTGCAAGAGAGGATATGAATAATTAATTAATAGACTTTTATCTTGCACTTTATTTGGAAAGTATTTGAATGTTTCCTTAGAAGTCTGAAACACTGTGTCTCTTAGACTCTTGAGTTTATTTGTAAAATAATATAATCATTTAAAAATCCATGTTCTTTTTACTCAGGCATTTTCTGAAAGGGCACAATTAGAATTAACTTCATCACTCGGAAGATTTCTTTGACAAGAATTAGGTAACCATTTTGTGATTACATCAGAGGCCTAGAATTTTCCTATAGATCAAATAAATTTATAAGATTATTTCAAACTGTATGCCAATGGTAAACTTTTAGGATAAATCAATTTTTGAAACAATACAGTTTGCAAGGTGCCTGACACAGGCTTGAAGACACTAAATCAAAAGGAAAGATTGATACAGTTGACTAACTTATTAAGACGCAGATGTCATATCATCAAGTCAAAGTGTGCCAAGCAATTATACAGATCCATGCAGTTTCAGTCTTAAAGAGTCTATAATGCTTTCTAAGGTAAAACCCACAGATAAGTCCAGACTCCCTTATCTGCCTAGAACAGCATGACTTCAAAAATGACTTCTGGATTCCTTTTTTAATATCACACTCACACAACATCCCATGCAAAAACTGCCCTCCATATCCAGTCAAACAATTTCTGTGTACAAAATGGAAGTTCTTCTTACCTTCTCTCAATGCCATTTCATCAACACTTGTTTCTTGGAGAGAAAGATCTGTGATAGCCTTATGAACAACATAGAGCTTCTCTTCTGGTTTTTCTGGAGGGAAAATCCCATAAGATAAATATTTTAACATTTAAGTAGTTTAAGATAAATAAATTACCAATTTAGACTCTAATAAGATAGTTTTAGGTTTTTTTTTTTGTGGTCACTAAAATAACTATTTCACTCTTCAAACTCTCTTCACTGAGTTCTTGTAAACATAATGATAATCTTTTCTTTAATGTCTGTATAAGGTATAGTACCATGAATTCTTATAGTTTCAGGTAGATTTAGAAAGAAAAATTGAATTTACAAATTTCCTTTAACCAAATAATAATGGAGCTATAATAATAATAAATAACAGAAGTTAACATTTAACAAGCAGTAATTTTCACAATAACTCTACAAATTCAGCACTATTATCCGCCTTCTTGTAATGAGACAACTAAGGCTTCAGGAGGCCAGGAAAGTTATCCAGGATGACCGAACTCTCAAATAAATGAGCTTGGATTTGACCCAAGGCAGAGGTTTAGTCCTTATGCTCTGAAGCCCCAATAGGATAAGGGCCCACATTTGGGCAAGGACAAGAGCGGAAGGATGTGCCATTTACTCCTTCACAACAGTTTATCCAAAGACTCCTGAGTGAGTTCACAAATCAAATCAAAGCAAATTAGAGAGAAGGAAAATGCTTTACCTTTTAGAATCTTCTCATCCATGGACGAGCTGAGCAGTATGTCCTCTTGTAATTTTTCACTTTTCTCCTGATTTCTTTCTGTGGGTACATCAAGTCTAGGTTCTACCCTGCAGTATGGTGGGGTGCCATCCACGTCACTGGCTTCTTCTGTGATTTTAGTGATCTTTTGTTGACCGTTTTCAGGGGGTGTATCCCCATTACACTCCACCTGACTGAATGTCACTGGTACGTCTGTCATAATGTACAGTTGAGTCCCACTTTTAGAGAGCTTTGGGAAAGATCCTTGATCCTTGATAAATTCTCTTGCCTTCAAATCCAACTCTTACTCTAAGAACACAAATTATTTACTTTAGGGCATAATAAGAAGCTTCTTTTCCTAAAGGTATCCCGATAGAGAGTAGAACAAAAGTAATAGAATTTGTCAGATTTACACCAATCTATGAGCAAGAATCCAGCCAATCACCACCTTGTTTGTTGCTCAGCAGTTCCACTTGCAGAATTAATGGCAGTCTTTTGATTTACATAAGCAAACAATCCAAGGCAATCAGGCTTTTGTGTTGGCATGTAGAGGGGGACTTTCAGCTTGTCAGTCCCCCTCTGGGAACAGAGATTTTTGTCCCTTTTCATAATGGTCCTTTGTCATTTTCCTTGTAACAGGAGCCACAATTGTTCCACGGCTTTAATCCAGAGAGAATGACCACCTTGAGGCATATTAGTTCTGTGTAACCAGCTTAACATTTCCAAACAGATTTTGTTCAAGTAAAACCTCAGCTATTTTGTAAAGGACAATGGCATCATTTCTTATTTATTAAAGAATAAAAACAGCTTATCAAAAACCTGTAAACAGGGCAACTTTATTGTACATCGCTCTGGCAGCAGATTCCACACTGTGCTTTCAGGAACCCACGGAAATAGACCTAAGAAAAAACAAACACAAATTCTGCCATTTCGCTAGTATCAAAAATTTTATATTTCAGAGTAATTTATTTGGTCTATAGCGTCTTATTTTAGTTTATTCACTTCTATAACAGCTCAATTCATCCTATAAAACCCTAGAATAATTGCCTTCATGAGATTTTCCCTTTCCCCAATCAGAATTACTTTCAGTATCCCCTACTGATATTGCATGATGCTTGTAAAATGATAAGATACCAACACTGTCTGCCCTTGGGGGAAACAGGTGATTATATAAAACATCTGTCACCTACCACTCCTTCTTTCTTAAGGTAAGATATTAATTCTTTGTGTGTGGATTTCTTGTAGACAATCATCTGTCCTTATTTTTAGTGTTGCTTTAATTCCACCATGGGGTTTTATTTTTTTAATTTTTACTGGCGAGTAGTTGATTTACAATGTTGTGTTAGTTTCTGCTATACAGCAAAGTGAATCAGTATATCCACTCTTTTTTTAGATTCTTTACCCATATGGGCCATTGCAGGGTATTGAATAGAGTTTCCGGTGCTATACAGTAGGTCCTTATTAGTTATCTATTTTATATGTGAAAAGCCAGTTGCTCAGTCATGTCCAACTCTTTGCAACCTCAGGGACTATAACTGGCCAGTCTCCTCTGTCCACGGAGTTCTCCAGGCAAGAATACTGGAGTGGGTTGCCATGCCCTCCTCCAGGAGATCTTCCCAACCCAGGGATCGAACCTGGGTCTCCTGCATTGTAGGCAGATTCTTTACCTTCTGAGCCAACAGGGTTGCCTATTCTATATATGGTAGTGTATGTATGTGAATCCTAATCTCCCAAGTTTTCCCTTCCTGCTTTCCATCCTTTTAACCATAAATTTGTTTTCTACATCTGTAACTCTGTTTCATAAATAAGTTCATTTGCACTATTTTTTATGCTAATTCTTCTTTGTTCAATCTCATCTAATGCAAAATAATTCCAGAGCCTTTGTTCATGCTGCTCCCTCAGCTTGGAATGCCCTCTCTTCCTCAAGGCCAAACCTCTGGCCTAACGGGCTCCTCTAAGTGCTCAACTCTCAGTTGAAATTTTCTTTAAAGTCACTTTTCCTGACCCACAGGATTAGAATGGGACTCCTGTTACACATTATCTTGTCCTTCAGAATGCTCTTCACAGTTGTGATTAAATAAGTAATTGCACAATTATCTGCTTAATGTCTCTTTCACCAAGTAGAATCTGAGCTTTATCTGGACAGGGACCGTGGTTAACTTCTTTACGTGTGTCCCCAACATGTAGCATCTTCCTTTAAATAAGTAGGTACTCAATAAAGAAAAAAATTACCATTGAGTAAATGAATAAGTGTTACTCCCTGGAGGATACATTTTGGATCTTTTCTAAAGGGAAGAAGAACAGGTTAGAAAGTGATTGTGCATATATCACCTTTAAAACTGCATCTAGGGTTAAGTCCATTAGGGTCTACATCAGGGATGACAAATACAAGGCACTCTGGTCTCACCCTTTCCTCCCATATACTTGGAGGACAAACTGAGATTCTAGAAATCTCTTCCTTGTCATTTCCAGCTGCTCTCTAACACACTGTCACGCAGTCTAACACACTGATTATTTGTTTCTGAAAAGGTAGAAAATTAATTTCCCTCTACCTGCTTCTGAAATCTTGTCTGAGATCAAGTAATCTATCAAAATGATCTATCTGTAATAAAGGATAGATTCATGAGAAAAGGGAATAGAGGTTTAAATATCTTGTTAAAAAGTAAATTGAGGAATTTTAAATTTTTTAAGAGGTTTTTCTGAGCAAAAATTAATTCTAATTGAGTAATGTTGAACTGGAAGTGGCTAGGAGCACTCCACAGGACAGGAAATGTGGAGACTTTTACAGAGAAAAGGCAGAAGGAAGTAAGGAAATTATTGATTGGTGGCTCAGATAGTAAATTATCTGCCTGCAATGCAGGAGACCTGGGTTCAGTCCCTGGTTTGGGAAGATCCTTTGGAGAAAGAATGGATACCCACTCCAGTATTCTTTTTTTTTAATTTATTTATTTTTTATTGAAGGATAATTGCTTTACAGAATTATGCTCTTTTCTGTCAAACCTCAACATGAATCAGCCATAGGTATACATATATCCCCTCCCTTTTGAAACTCCCTCCCATCTCCCTCCCCACCCCATCCCTCTAGGTTGATACAGAGCCCCTGTTTGAGTTTCCTGAGCCACACAGCAATTCCATGGACAGACAAGACTGGCAGGCTACATTCCATTGGGTCGCAGAGTCGGACACAACTGAGCAACTAACACCTTCACACTTTCATAGCTTCAAAGCTATTTGGTTGTTTGTGACTGGCTGTCCTTAACATTTTGATCTTGTAAGCTTGAAGCATTTACATGCTTTTACTTTGGTTTGCTTATGTAGGCCACCAGACACTCAGTTCAGTTCAGTTGCTCAGTCGTGTCTGACTCTTTGCAACCCCATGAACCGCAGCANAACCCTGGGACTGACAGGGCCCTGACCCTGCCCACTAGCAGGCCAACAGAAATTTTGAGATATCCCAGGCCCATAGCCAGATATATCAGAAACTGACCCCGCTTACCAGCAATTCCACACCAGCTCTGGGCCCCCTGGGCCCTGCAGCCAGACTCCAGGATCCAGCTTTGCCTACTAGTGGACCTGTTCTAGCCCCAGGAATGACTTAACCCACTGGTGAGAGGAAACCAGCCCTGGGATTATCTGGATCTTGACTATGCCAACTAGTAAGTTAGCATTATCCTCCTCCTCCTGCCAGATTCTGCAGCCAGTCATTGTATGCACCCAGTGGCTGACAGCCTTTACAGAAGGCAGCCTGGCAATCACCCAGACCAGGGATCAGTAACACATCCCAGTAGTCAGCCCACCACAACAGAAGGACCCAAGTAGCCCACATAGGGATCATGCTTAGAGCATGTAGCTCTGGTGATAAGGGCAGTGTGCTGCTGGAATACTAGGACATCTCCGATGAAAGGCCACCTCTCTCTCCAAGGTTGAGAGGTGTAACCAACCTATCCTATACAGTGGAGAAGGAAATGACAGCCCACTCCATTATTCTTGCTGGAGAATTCCATGGACAGAGGAGCCTGGTGGGCTACAGTCCATGGACTCACAAAGAGTCAGACATGACTGAGCACACATGCATGATGATCACGAAGATATATGCGAGAGACCCAAGGAAACCAAGTAACTCCCTAAGATGACCTAAATCACTCCCTTAATTACCATCTCCAGCTGAAGTGAAAAGAGAGAAAGGTGTGTGGTGGGGGTGGAACAGGGAGGCCAGTTAGAGGTTTCCAGCAAATGCACAGTAAAAAGGGATATGGTTTATTGTGCAGATTTAAGTGGCTGCCTTCTCCATTGACAAAGGGTCTGTTGTGATTTAGAGTCATTCTTCCCTTCCTGGTATAGAGACACCTTTACAAAGGGAGATCTTCTTTACAAGTGTCAATTTCCCTTACAAAAGATAACATTCTCTTTTCTGAGTTTCTCCAGTGTCTGCTACTTCTCAAAAATAATTAGCTCAAAATAATCCTTATGTCAAAGAGACATATTTTGGCATGGCACATTCTAATGCTCTTCATCTGTTTGTTTTTAATATTTTTATTTGCAAACTTTCACATAGCATTTATTATAAGTCAGGCACTGTTCAGTTGCTTCACAAATAGTAACACATTTGATCTTCAAAACAGCTCTGTAAGGGAGGTGCTATTATTAGCCTCATTATGCAGAATAGAAAAATTCAGCACAGAGAGATTAAGAAACTTGCTCAAGGTCACACAGCTCAAGTAAACCTACTGTTGAGAGTTTGCAACTTAGATGAAGCTGAGAACCATCTCTGGTCTGGGTGCTGATGTTTCCATGGGCCCGCAAAGGGCTTCACCACTGGGCTCCACCAACCTGATGAATTCACTGCATAGGCTGCAGAAGCAGTTCTATCCTGGAAAGGGCAACAGACGACCTGAAGTAGAATCAAGATCTTCCCGAGACAGACACCCAGGCGCTGAGGATAGGGTTGGGAGGATCAGGGAATTTTCTCCCACTAGGTTTGACAGAGCTGTTCTCTTAATTCAAGAATCAGAGTCCAGAGCTTCAGGAGCAGGTTTGTCCACCCTCACTGATTTAGAACAGTCTAGGATCTAGGACAAGAAGAATATATTGGGGGAGTCAGATGAGGGGATTAAGACCAATGCTAGGAATGTTTGGGTTCATATTAGATTGTGAGATCCTTAAGGGCAGCACTAATTCAACCTAATTCCCAGCAGTAAACACAGAAATAAAGAACCGCTCATATTAGCCATAAAGTCCTGTCTCCAACATCTGTCAGTTCCAAGACCTCTAAGCACTTCAGTTCAGGGACACAGCAGATTTTGGTCTCTCTCTCTCTTAGATTTCAATGATCCTGTAACAACTTGCAAATTATAGCTTAGTTTTTATGGGGATTAAAATTTAGGGGTCAAGGATTATCTATTTTCTAAACCTTGTGTTTAATTCTTCTGGCATTAGAATTATTTTAGGTTTATAAATATAGAAGAATGATCTTAAGTTCTATCAGCCTCAGCTAAGCAGTGTGTTCACTTCTATAAAACGGAAGCTAAAATGTTTGGTAACATGCAAGCTTTC